GGATTAAAATCGCCAAACCTTTGACAGAAACAAAGGTACATGTAAATGCAGATCATGATTATTTATTTCCTACAGCACCAGCGGTTGTGCCTGTTCGATAGGAAATATTTATATAGTGCTTTCCTTCATCTCCGAAGTATTATTATTGATAAACAAGTTGTAACGTAAATACTTGCGAGTGTGGCCTGTATATATATAGTTATCGAACCAATGGTTTCCGCTAAAACTCAATCCCCCTCCCCGCAAACTCCTCCCAAACACGCGATAGAATTGCTTTGATTTCTCGTGATCCCAAACTGTCTTCTGTGTCCATATAATTCATCCATAACACCTTCCATCGCAGTAAACATGAGTTTAATGGTACGATTGACGTTTACTGTTCTACAGCACAATAACTAAAACCTCCGAGGCATTTAAGTTACGAAAACTCAGTCCTCACTTAAAGTTAACGTTTCACTCAAAAACTTACTTTATCTCTATTGATACAATAATTCAAGCCTTAAAATTTAAGGATATGTTGTTGATGCTTTAATGTGACAACGTGATGCTGTTAGTGAGCTTCTATGCGCCAGCTGACGTTTGGCTGTGTAGCCGCGTGATGCGGTTCCAGTCAATACCCACTAATTGACCCTTGCTCACCATAGAGTCTCCTGTAGCTCAGTAGTTAGAGCATCCGACTAGATCACAGAGGGTCGTGGGTTCAAATCCCATCTGGAAACTTGATTTTTCTCTTATATTAGAAATTGTTGTTGACAAAATGCCGTCTTTTTTAAGAATTGCATATCCTATGAACATGCCAGTGGAAACTACTAATTATTCACATCCTTCTAAAATATGCGCACGTCCCTCTAAAAAGGTGCGCAAGTCATCCAAAACCAAACCAAACTCAGTTATTACTTTAGCCGACACACGTTTAATCTCCAGCTTTTCCCCGCACTAAGATGGCTATCTTATGATGAAGGTGTTGTTTCTTTTGAAAAATACAGCTCATGTGATTTGACTACCTTCTACGCAGAGGTTTGTTTCGTATGATTAATGCGATTTAAGAGCTAAGAAATAGCCAGGTATGATAAGAGGGCCTAGTAAAGGTTCCCTCTCCGCTCTTGATCCAGCTCAATGCCTTCAAAAAGCGACTTAAAGTTCCAGCTCCAAAGCCCTGCACAACAAGAAGAGAAGACAAGAAAAAAAAAATTCACTCTGTTAAATATTCACATGAAAAATTATCAATCTGATATACCAACAACAGTTTGCAACTTCAATATTGGCTACTTTCTGGCCATTCTATGATTGTAAGAAGGAAAGACGATTGAAGGCCAGAAGAGAGTTTTCCTACAACGAGGAGCTCTTCATAGGACAGTTTTTTATCGATAATCGAATGCGATCCTGGATTGCATTGCGTTTGCTATGCTTCGCTCTGTGATTGGCTTAGAAACCTCATGCCATACTCTCAACCAATCAGAAGCAACACAGACACCAATCACCACTTGGTGACCCGCGTTTTCCCGCGCTTTCCTCGCGCCTCCGCTTTGAGAACTCACTGGCTTCTTAAGATATATTTTTTCGATCTTATTAATGGTTGGAATGTCCTTAGCTCAGAATTTACGATATTCAGTCGAAGTCCCTTTAGTTTTAATTGCCAGAAGAGAAGATACATCGTTAACAATACAACACTCCTCATCAGGGACCCCACCACCCCACCCCTCCCCTCTCTCACCTGGTGATTGTGCCTCTGTACAACTTCTGAGAATAGTGTTGGTCTGTCCTGCATTGGTTTTGTGAAAATCTGCAGCAGGTAACCCTTGTCATCAAAATCGACCAAAATCTTCAGATCTTGAAGCTAGAACATATTTAAGCAGAGCTTACTGAAATTTGGGCCCCTGGCCCAGGAAGCCTGAAACTTGCACCAACCCCCCCACTCCACCCTCAACCTTAGTTCGTTAACGACTAGAAGTCGATTAACAATCCAAAACAATCCTAAGTACTCATTACTAATTCTCATTACTGTCTTTCATACAATTCTTATGATGTGAGTTTGGAGAATTTGATATTAGATCAACTAATAATCCCTTGGTTGATACCTTCCCTGAAATTCCTCTCCACTGTTTCCATCCCTCCTCCTCCCTCTGGGTCAAAGTTAAAATATCTCACCACATTCAGATCTTCCTCCACCACATGGGTGCATATCCTTAAGCCATGCACGAAGATTTTTATGTGTCAGGAATAACGAGAAATTCCATACCTCTTTCCTTTAAATTCCTTATCTGAAAAAAAGTAACTTCACTGTAAAATTTATAACAATCTTTTTACAGAACACACCATTTAGTAAAGTTAATGATTCAGGTTGCAATTGTAATTTACAGCAAAGATGATGTCGGATGTATTGAGTGCAATGTGCTGTACTCCTGCTGTGCAATAGTAGTCCAAAAATCCTTCAGTAAGATAAGTATTATAAAGCCCAAATGATGACATGAATTTTGTGTGTTGAATTATGCAACAACAATGCAGCTTCATCAGAGCTACATGAGTATTCCTGGCACTGGTTACATAAAAGGTTCAGATAAATACTGGGAAATTAACCCAATTCATTCATAATCAGTTTTGCCAGCAGAGTGCAGAGAAGGGAAGGGCCCTCTGTCCCACCCATCCTCATTGTTTGAGCTGTACTGCTAGATTCATCCCCCAAGCCTAGCTATTCCAGCTTGGCTTAGTCAGCTGGTTAATTATACCAATGCCATATCTTAATTCAACTGAGTATGAATGGGAGTGTTGTAAATACCATTGATGTGGTTGGCATTGCTTGAATTTCCACTGTAGAGGCCAATTCCTTTGGTGTAGTCCTAACAGGTCATAAAATAGTTCTTTAATGTATCATGCTTGTGCTGTCAAAATGGCTTGATATTTCATGAGGTATTTACTGACCCTGACTATGTCTCAGAGCATTAAACCCAAATTCAAAATAACAACAACAATAATTAGAATTATAATTATAATAATAATTATAATAATAATAATCGCTCGCACATCCAAACAAAATCAAAATCAACTCAGCTAAAACTCTCGCTCAGAGATGCCAAATAGTCTCGCAAAACTGCTTAACAATTTGCAAAGTATACTAGATACTTCTTTAAGGATGCTCTGGCGCCCTAAACTTGGCCCGCTTTCGATGGGAACAGATTTTTATGAGAACACTCTAAAACACGTCCACACTACTTACCGCCATATTATTATTATTATCAGGACCGTAGACACAACAGAAAAGCTTTTTAGGATTAGTTAATGTACATTTATTTTTTACTCCATGGCTCACAGGTTACGGTTTTCGCCCTGTGCTGCCTGATTAGAATGTAGCATTCAGTTGATTTCTCTGCGATAATAATAACTTCGCAAATATCCAGTTGTGAGAGAGATTAAGCACCATGTTTTTGTGAAACAGCAAATGTTGGCTTGCCCTTTCATGTTTCACATAAATAGCATGAACCTTTCTGCTTTAGCTTTGTGAGAGCTCACACCATGGTAGATTTGAGGGCACCCTTGTATAACTCACAAGGAATAGTTTTGGTGCTCTTTTTTCAGCAATTAACTACTCTGTCAGAGATAATAAAAAATTTTGTACATGACGAATGCGAAACAGGTAACTTTCTAATAGAAACGGCAAAGTGCAAACTGCAAACATGAAAAAAATGAAGGGAAAAACATCACATGGTCACTCTTGCTTTTCCTGTTTCAGGTAAATGCGGTGCCAAATCTCTCTATTGTGACCCAATGTTTGGTCCATAAGCATGCATGTATACCTACTTGTATCGGGCTCTTCCTTTTTCCTGGGGCTGGTTCATTGAGTGGCATTTTAATTGTCTCTTCCCAGTTTGTGACCACAATTGAATTGCAGTGCACTGTACTCTGTATGAATCTAAACAATAAAATATCATTGCAGAATTTTCACAATGAAGCCAATACCCCATGCTCTGCCCACTCCCCCATGCTCTGCCCACTCCCCCATGCTCTGCCCACTCCCAAGATCTGAAAGCTGATTCTTCTTAATTGCATAACATACAAACCTTTCTTGCCTAAAAAATGGTAAAAGGAAAAGTAGGTAAGTTCCTAGAAAATTAAACAATAAAGTAACTAAACAGGAAAATGTATGTGATAGTGTTGTCTGATTGTCGTGATGAGTGCAGTCCTGAGAAGGTCTGTTGTTGATGGTGGTGGCTGATGTTTCCAAAAACTGAATGGAAGTCAATCATCATCAGAGTCACTCTAACCAGTGTGACTCTCACCACCACTGTCGACAGTCCTTCTCAGGGCTACACCCACCTGGACCATTAGATGACACACTCGCATAATATATAGTTTTAGCCAAGCCTAAAAGCAGAGCTCCTAAGTTCGTAATATTAATGATAACATAAAGATGTGCACTTGCCAAGACTCGCCTGAGACACCCCTCCCTTCATTTTGATAGTCTCCCCTAGTCTCCCCGTGCAATCTGATGGCACATACGCTCGGTCACGTTACAACCAAACGAAAAGGTTGACCATATTCCATAGGTATGGGGCTCTGCCCCACTCGCGCAAGCGTGCGTGGGAGCCCCGCTATTACCCTAGGTTCAAAACATCTACTTGAGTCATTAGGAAAATACATTTCACACAGTCAAGTATTTTCTTCATTTAACCTTCCTCTGCATTGAATAAAACAACAGATTCCATTTTCCTGTCAGTCTCTTTTGAGCTAAAAATATCCAATGTAAGAACATCTGATTCACTGTTTCCAGAAGCTAGTGTTTAACATGTACCTTCTCCCTATGATACCCATACATTACCCAGCAAACAGGTAATGAAAATACTCAAACTTATCAGGCAGAAGTTGTTATCCTGATTTAACAACATTTGCATGACTAATTTACAAGGAAAAGTGTAAAAGCTAGAGGGGAGAATTAAACTTCCAATCATGGCAGTTAAAAGGATGAAAAAACATCTGTGTTGTGAACCTAAACAGACAGTCAGAAGGAAAAGTGAATGGAGTCTGTTTCTTACATTAGTACCATACCTGTTTATCATCAACAGACCAAAACCTGTGAAACTATAAATTCTTCTCATACTTTCAGAGTACACTAGGACAATGACTGTGTAAATGTTACTGATAGGTAGGAAAACACAAACAAGATGTTAAACTTGATATCTTACACAACAGAATACAGTTTATTAATATAAACCACCAGTTAGACTGGACTTACCATTCAGCAATGGACACCATAGCATCTTCTGGCTGGTTACCAATGACCTGATCAATAAAATCAAGAAGGCCTGGTGGTCTACGAAATTCAAGAAGAACAGTTTCACAATTAGCATTGCAAGTGCACATTTCTATGAAAGACTGATTAAAAATGAATCGCCATGGATTGATGTTTCCACATGAAGAAAACTCTTAAAAAAATCATCAGATATTTTCAACACAAACATCAATTGCTTTGAATAACAGTGCTCATCATTGGTGAAGGATGAAAAAAACAAAACAATAGCACCAGTCATCATAACTGCTAAATGATATTTTTTGATATATTTAAGAGATCTTGTCTCATTGTTGTGACTTTAATGAACATGTTAAAAATTAGGAAAACCCTTTTCACTAAAAGAATAAAGAATCAATCTCAAACTGACTTAAAAGAATGACATTCAAACCAACTTCAGCTCAAAAGAACAGATAGTGCAAGCATTATGAAAACTGATAGACATCTACACAATGCAAGTATTACAAACTTCAAGTAATCTGTGTAATGCATAATGTGAATAGCTTTGGTGCAGAACAGTTAAAGGATACTTACAGTTTGGGAAGAAGGCAGTCTTTGGCTATTAGAGACTTGCAGCCAGGTAGAAAGAGACCACTGAATTCCTTTCTTTCAACAAATGTGCGTGTTGTGTCTCCATACTACAATCAAACAGGTATCACACAGATCAAATTTAAAGAAGTAATTTTCATCCTGACATTACAAAATTTCCTTCAGGGCATATTCTCTCCTGCCCCAACCCTATGCAAAGGAGACAGAGCAATGTTAGTGTGATGTGGACTTGGCCAAGATCCTAAACTCTTGTATTGCCTCACTCCAGTCAAGGGAATAAATACGTACCAGCAAACTGTCAGGTAATCCTTGGAAAATGCAGGGGGGACCCTGTGATGGACAGGCATTCTTTACAGGAGAGGGGGAAATGCAGGTACTGCTATTCACCTTATAAAATTAAAAGGCACGATAAACTGTTACCAGATTGCCTCATCTGGCTGAATTTACCCTGAACCTTACCAATCCTATGCATTATTTCCTAACTCTATTTACTAACTTTTTCTCTGTTCCTAATATTACTACACATGCATTGAATTAGGTCAGAGATCATATTAGCTTTTGGTAAGGTAACAAATCTGATCCTAGACCTATTTAAGCATAGACCAATGTGTTGACTGACATATTGGCTGACACACCACTGACACATTAGCTAACAACACTGAGCGGGAAGGAATAAAATACTGTAAACACCAGCATATCATGGAGTTTAACACTCAAATTCTGGAAAAAATAAGATTATTTTTGGGAATGACCATTGCATGGACCAACATAATTATTGTTTGGATCAAATTTATTACCCTAATCCTATTTGTCAAAGTCAAATTTACAGTAAAGCTGTGACTGATGTTTCTATAGGTGGTTTGCGACCAATCTCTAGAGACACAGGAAACAATAGTGAAAGGAACAAATGGTGGTGGACGAACAAAAGGAGCTAATGAGACATCTATTGTCTACGTCCACCAACATAGCAACAATGACGTAGCGTGAAAACCACCTATAACTAAAACGAGGCAGCATGCAGTACATGGGAGTTTGTAGACAGACAATGAGATGCAAGGAATTGAGTTAACTTGAACTATCTCATGGCGAACAAGTATGAGTGAAATTATTGCCATTCATTCTTAAATAACATGTCAAAAAATATCTCAAGATATAGAATCACAAAAAAAACTATCTCCATTGTTTGTGACCATACGTATGGTCCATGGTATAAGAGCTCTGATGCATGTCCTGTAAACCTGTTAAAACTCTAGAAAAGCAAAATACGGCCATGGCTATTTTTAATAGTAATAGATATACTCACTGTCTGAACAGTGGCAAAAGTCATTGTACCATCTTCATCTGTTTCATCGCGTGGCTCGTGAATAGATACTGCACCACGCTTAATGGCTACCTGTATAAACCAAACCGGGAGAAGCGCACGAACAACGTAAGGGGTAAGACGACTGTCAGGGAAATGGCTGCTTTAACTGACTCCCGCCTTTGATCACTCTGCCGCTATCTCACTGTTCTCACTCGGTTTACTGACCAAGGCCTGGCACTGGCTTAAAAGAGTAGCACTTGAGTGTTGGAGCGAAGATTGGGAACAAATCTCCAAGTATTATCCCGGAAGTGAAAAAATTAGGTAAACCGTAATGGAGGTGGAGATACCAGCCGAAGAAAAGACACTCTTGCTGGGACGAGAGACCATTTCTTCAAGATTGGGAACGGAGGAAATGCCTGCTTCCACTAAATGGCCCGACGATACTTACGATATCTCGGTGAAAACCACTGCTTTTTGTGTAAATGGAGACGCCATTGGCAAACGATCGAGGAGTCAGCGTTGCAGGATCTTCAAACAACTCAAGTTCGCGCTCTTTGACTCCCACTGGCCCTTGTATTGTTTCCTAGCGGTTGCTTTTCTTGGTGTTTAGTTGCCTAAGAAGAGCAAATGTCTTTGGCTGCTCACTTTAATACCAGTATTTCACATGCTCTTCGGCTTGGGGGCACATATGTATTTCCTTCTGTTGGCGAGAGACCAAAATACTCTGAAAGTTCATATTGGGTCCAAAATACTACTCACATCGTTATGGATGAGCGACTTTTCATCTTACATCCTAGCCTTGTATTACTTCAGATATCAGTCGCAGGAATGGAGGAGAGATTTGAGCAAAATTCAACGCCGAGCCGTCAACGCGGGTCTCTTCACTGGTTTGCTACTTGTGTCATGGGTCCTGTTTTTAGACGTCCATTATCAAGTTATGTTTGACTTAGAACACATTAAAAAAGCCCTTACTCATAAGTGTCCCAATTTGAAAGCTTGCAGTGGTGTTTAGTACCCCCTTGTCACTTCCATATACTGGGGAATGTATTCGTCCATCGCTGTTTGCTTCGTGTTTTTCTCTCTGTGCCTCGCGATGACGAACGATCTCACGAGAGGATACCATCGCCTGACTAAATGCACTGGGAATGTTCGAAATGCTGTAATAATGCACAGGCAAGTGCGTGAAAAAATTGGAGAAAAGATCAACTGCATACGGGTTTGGTTTTTAGTTCACACTTTTTTTTACCTGGTGGTGTTTTTAGCCAGTGTTTTCGACTGGTGGGAAGCTGCAAGAGACTCGTTACACTCTGTTGCCCAGTATATGGCTCAAATCTCTGGAACGCTGGTCGTAGTGTACAAATTTTTCTTCCCCTTTTTGTCAGCCAGTTACGTCACTTGGCACGAATCAACACTCGTACAAGACATGAACGACAAGACAGATTACCTGCCAGGAGAAACCTTCCACTCGAGGCAAGACTTAGAAGTGTTCCTTGCACAGAGCAAGAGACGTGGTTATGGATTTCGCCTGTTTAAGTGTTACGTGTACGAATGACCAACAAATGTCCGCTAACAAAGTATATATGACGATAGACTCCCGAGTACGATATATGGCACGCAACAAAAATGTAACAACAAGCAGTTACCCATTTTAACTATTATTTAATTAGTTTTACATTGCCTAATCTACTTAGGTTAAAGATTAAGTTACGCATTTCATAAAGCAGGCTTTCAATCCTTCATGCCGTGTAAGTGTTCGTCGTCTTGATCAACTTCCAATTCCAACATCCGCCGACTGAAGTTCACAAGCCAGCTTTTATACATTTACTTTAGTTATCTAGAATGTTCTATTACTATTTATAGCGTATTACAAGTTGTACTATTTTTGGAAACTGCTGAGTCACATGAAAGAAGTTTCTGGAATATTACAGATTATAGATAATTCTAGAAAAGTCTGGGATTGCGTGACAGATTCAGTAAAAATAATTCGATCCTCGTAACATAAGATACAAATAACCATAACGATCGCAATATTTTCTTTGCTTGGATCTGGTTTTGAACTCCTACACGCCTTATTTTCGGACCATGATAGAACAATACCTTTTTTTTTTTAGTTGTCAGATAGAAGACAAATCAGGCGGGAAAAAATGGTCAAATCTTTTTTCCTCGGTTATAGGACTGATAAGAATTTGTATTTTAGGTGTTTTTTTTGGTGATTTGGCTTTCAAAATAATAATTTACTGAATAAGACTTAGTACAACAGAATCAGAAGAACATAGATTTAGCTGTGAGGAAAAACCCCACTCAATTCTCTTTACATTACTCAACCTCGTTCCCAGGGTCTCTCATCTTCCCGCCCCCTCTCTCCTCGCTCGCTCCAGGGGGCGGGAAGTTGAGAGACCCTGGGAACGAGGTTGTACATTACTCTGATTTGTTGATTTACTTATTTCCTAGAATCCGTAAAAATCCGTCTTTTAACTCTTAGACCGATCGATGGAAGCTAAACAGACAAGTAGCTGTCACTAATTTGTTTATTGAAAATTTCCTTCCCAAGGAAGTGCACTTTTAAGTTTTTCTTCTTTACTATTCTGTATCAAACGTTGGATAATCAAAAAGCAATGCAATAAAGAATATGATTTTCTAATTATGTGCATGGAATCAGAGTAAGTAGCTTCTCCTCTACAGAATTGGATGGAATATATTAATTGATTGATTTTTTTTTGTCCAAGAAGATTGCCATTTAAATTAGAGTTCTCCTATATCTGAGGTTTCCGTTTCCTCAGTGTAAATGGGCTTCTGGCCGAAAAAAACGGTAGGCCTGGGGGCGAGAGCGACTACGAAAGTGTCAAAAGGCAGAACATCATAACCTACTAGATGTTTGATGCGATGGTAGGTGACGTATGTTAGAAAAACCAATTCCAACAGACTAGCAGAGATGGCTTCCTTTAAAGGAAGGCACCGATGTCGATAGATCGTGGTAAGTACCGCCTTTTTTTCAAAACTGATACAGTTCAGTTTATCAGTGTCATATAAAAAAGAGTAAGACCTCGATCATGTTCTGTTTTATTTAGCGACCTGGTGGAAGACAGTTGAGATATCTTGCTTCGATAAAACCTAAAAACAATATATAAAGGGAAAGACAATCATAATCCACAAGGTTGGTATAAAAGCTTCAAATACCATTTAAAGCTTAAATTTTCGTTAATGAAATTGCGTATCGCCGGCGCAGTAAAGTTAATTTATTCTGAGTTACCTTCTGACTGATCCGACCCCTTCAAAGTCACAAAGGGGAAAATAAACTGTGCATGTGGTTTTGCGTCGGTGGGAGTCTTAACAATAAAATTTCGTTTTATCAACGGAGTCGATGATGTAAATCGGCCACCGTAGAGTGCTTCTAGTGTCAACGTTACGAACATTAGTCCTTCGTAAGTGCAAAGTGAGGTGGCTGAAGTAAGTGATGTTCTTGATGATACGGCTTATACCTAACGGCCTCATGTCACTCGCTGACTTTCCAAGGTTATAGTTTGGTAAGCGATCCCCTCAAACGAAAGGGCTAACACTCTTCAAAGTCAACTTCTAAATGTTGTACTGTTAAGCCAACATTACGCAGAATTGTCGTCGGAAAAGTGGATATGGAATATCAAGGAAGAATGAATGAAACTCATAGACTTTCTTTTCTCTGAGAGGAAGATATGGAGATCCATTCAGCGCTTTCCTCCGAATGATACGGTGTTCCAACTTATTCGTATACATCGTAGTACATGCATACTTACATACCACGCATACAAATATGCGTACGATTATATGTATTTTAACAGCTTCTCTGTTCTATCTTTGTATTTATTTATATGTCGTTCAGTCTCTATTTTGAATTGTAACCTGAATTCAATTCTATCAATCGTGTTAATGTCGTTTCGTTGTCTGTTATAGGTAATGTAGTATAAGTGACTCATTATAGGTAATATATTGTTACCAGGTTAAACTATGTATCTGTAAAAATTTATTGCAAAATGTTGTAAAAAGTATTAAATAAAATAAAAAAAGAGCCAACCTTGGCGAGTGTATTTCAGTTTCGTGCGTCAAACTTTTATAACTAAGGATGGATTTGAACATATAAAAATGAAAGATTTTTTTTTTTTAATAGGGAAAGTCAGGCCACAGTGTTGATATATACCTTTAGAGAGGTTGGATTTTCATCACAGGATCGATCACCTTACAACTAAGGCCTCTTTCTTTAAACGGTAAGCTATCTGTGCGTGAACTGATATGAAAATCTAGTCAGCAGTGGACTCCGGAGTAAATCTATTTCGGTTTCGTACTACACACTTTTATATCTAGTGACAAAATTGAGAATGAAAAACTGAAACATCTATTCTTGTTTTATTGGGAGCATCAGGTTTCAATGTCCATCGCTTTGAACGGTTAAATCAGTTTTCATCACAAGATCGATCACAGCACAACTAAAGCCTATTTCTTTAAACGGTAAGCTATCTGGGCTTGATAAGCAACTCTTTGTCTTCGAGAACTTTTTACTTTCTAGCGGGTGTGATTTGCATGAACGAAGACAAAAATAACACTTATGATAATGAATACGAAATATGGATGTAGTTGACTGCATTTTGCTGAAAAAAAAAATTACCAAATGACCACATAGCTAAGTTTTATCCTTAGCCGAGGCGCTGATCCAGATGAAACTGAAATATGGGAACAAACGAGTGACATCAGAGAGAGGATCTGGCTTGACCTATTTAAGAAATGATCAATACTATAAAATTTATTTTGGGGAGGGGAGAGAGTGGGGAAACCTGAACCTGAACCTGGACATGACCTATATTTATTAGGCGTGAATCGTGCACTTGTAAGAAATTCTCCAGAAATCTCGGGCCGATAAACTTCCCTGCTTTTACGTTTTCATTTCCGCTTTTCTTCGGCCAAGAACCTCGCGATTTGAGAGCACTAACACCGAGCAATCATCGGAATAGCGATGAAAATTCTACCTGGCTGCTGGACATTTCTCATATTCGAAAATTAATTAAGCAATCAAGTCGTACTTGAAAAGCTTGCATACCGTTTGAGTCAATATATTTGTATTACTTGTATGTAATCAAAAATTCCTTTAAATAACCGGTGATTTTCGTATTTGATGTGAAGATTACCTGATTGCGCAGATTTCCTGAAAATTTCTTGTTCGAAGGCGTCACGGCCGAACCACATGAGCCGGCCGCAATTGAGTGTAATGGGTTCAATAAAAGAGACGTTTGTGACAAAATTGGGGCCCAGAATTGTGTCTTGTGAATCTGTCCGAAATGTTGGCGGGAAAAATCCTAAGCAAAGAACATGACTTAGAAATAACACTTAGACAGTTCGTCAATTTCTTTGTGTTATAAAATATATAACATGTTTGATTACAAGCATTTCAAAAATGGTATTTATGTGTATCTGGGTTTCCTTTGACTTTTTTTAATGGCGTGACAAAGAAAACACTCAGAACTTTGGATAAATTCCCAACTTTTGTTCCATCTGAAGGGTTAACTTCATTATCATTTTTAAATTGCCATATTTCCCCCCTTTTTCCAGTGAAATATCTGAGCCAAGTACCTTTACTTTCATGAAAATAAACACGAGGTGTTTTTAGCCACAAACGGTAAGTTGATGTAAACTTCTTAGTTGGTTCAGTGATTTGCACGAAACACGTGACAGTGTAACGCGCATCTCAGTGGGACAGACCTTTTAGGGGCGAGTTTCCTTGAGGAAATCCAGTATTGAATTTCTGACTCAAGATCACGAGGATTCTATGACGTATGGAAAAAGAAACAACTGTCGAATAGTCTATTTTGGGCCAGGCGGTGTGCGCACTCCAATTGCATTGCAGTGTGGTAGCATTATTTTTAATATGGCGGTAAAAGCGGCAGAAATCGGCAGATTTTGACGGAACATTCCGTAAAAGTTAGGCCGCTTCTTTTTCCTTTCATCAAAGGTAAATATAATTTGATATAATCTGAATGTGTAAAAGTATTTTTCGTACGTATTTGTTGCGTATTCTATCGTTGTCACGGACAAACGTAAGCCCTGTTTTTAGCAGGTAATTTGAGACCGGTTTTCGAGAAGGTCAAATTCGTTGTACGTCGCAGTTTGAAGCTTTTCAATGATTTGTATGGCCACTTTGATCCTTCTTCAATAGCTCTGGTCAAACGCACTCCAACGGTACAAATTCTTTTTGCATTTTAAGTGTTTGTGTTTGAGACCCTTTTATGGAGCGAAAAGGCTCATTGTTGCGTTTAGTAAGTTGCGTTACATAACGTTACTGCCGCAAGGACATTTATTATATGTACTCAATCGTGTTGTAAATCTAATTTCCCAAGCGAAGTAAATTTAACTAATTGCGAGTGTTGTGTGCTAAATCTTCTATCTTGATTATTGAATGAAGGACAGTTAAATTAGAGCAATAAAGAGTCACTTGATCCATGAAATCCTCTAGTCGACCGTTGAAAGGTGTTGATAGGCCTGTACGTCTCCTCCCATTCGCTAGCGACTTTAAATCTTCTACCCGCAAAGTTTAACTCTTATTAGGGTATCTCCTGATGACTTTCCTTTTCGATGGGATGATAAGGGTCAGTTTTGAGGTGTCATTTCCCCATTTGTATGTTCTTGAGGTTTAGCAAAGCCGGATGAGATTGTGTTACAAAAGGCAATAATTTCTTCTGTGTTACGCACTATTTCCTTTGTTTTAAAGTATACTTCGCTCCTGCTGAAAAGACTCCAGAGATAAGTTTCTCAAAATCCTAATCTAGGTTTCCTCTACTTTCTAAGGGTATTATGAAACGGTGTACGTTTTTATCAAACATGGAGCGAGACAAATTCGATCTTAGAGGCGCGGGGCTTCTTTAACAAATCCCGTATTTAGGCTTGGTGGAAAAATTCCGTGTATTACAAGGTCTCTGTCTCTTTAATATGCGTTTACATGTCAAGGGTCAATTCCCCATTCAATAACTCGCGACTAGGAATATAATTTCTGACCTCAGTTTGAAATTATTCATCCCGCCGTCGGTTGTGACTTTAACTGTTGCCATTTGTGTCAAGATTCTTGTGGCAGATTTCAGTTTCGAATCTTTCTTAATAACGTCAGTTACCTCCTAAGAACCAATTCGTCAGGGAGAAATAGCAGGCGTCGCGCAGGCCCGTCAAACTTTTTAGCTTTCGAAGGAACGGCAACAGACAGCGAATCCCCTTTACAATCCAAGTATATTCACGCTATCTCGCTGCCACCAAAGAAGTTCACTTTAACGCGTTAAGATGCAAATGACTCAATTCTTGTTTTACGGCCATAATGCAACGCAATTAGAGTGCGCCTACCGCCTGATCTCGGGCGAGCAGAAGTAAATTAAGAAAGGGAGAGCGAGCGTCGGGAGTCGGAGTTATTTAAGGATTCAATAAAAATCCAAGTCCTCCTAGGTAAAAACATAGGGCGGGGTCCAGCGAATCCCACCCGGGATCCCACCCAGAATTATGGAATGCCCCGAGTGGGATCCTAGGTTGGATCGTGTCAATCCCACCCCCGTGATTCTTCCGGCCGGGATCCTGCCTATTTTGAGTGGGATCCCGGTTGGAATCCTGCCCGGGATTATGGAATGCCCGGAGGGAATCCTAGGTGGGATTCTGTCAATTCCACTCATGATACCCGGGTTTCTCCCGGCCAGGACCTGCCTATTTTAGTTAGGATCCTGCCCGGAATTCTGGAATCTCTTTGGTGAGAGCCCAGATGGGATTCTATCAAGCACATCCAGGATCCTGGGTCTCTCCCAGCCGGGATCCTGCCTATTTTGGGTGGGATCCTGGTCTGGATCCTGCCCGGGATTATGGAATGCCTAGGGAAGATCCTAAGTGGGATTCTGTCAATCCCACCTAGGATACCCGGGTTTCTCCCAGCCGGATCCTGCCTATTTTATGTGGTATCCTGCTCCGAATTATGGAATCCTTTGGGTGGGATCCCAGGTGGGATTCTGTCAATCCCATGCAGGATTCTGGGTTTCTCTGGGCCAAGAACTCAGCTGGGATCCCACCTTAAATAAGGGAACCTCCCAGATGGGATCCCAGCTAGGATTCTGTCAAACCTATGCAGGATCCTGAGTTTGTCCTAGGTGGAAATCTAGCCAGGATCGCACCTGAATAGGCAGGATTCCAGCTAGAGTGAGTCCCAGGTAAGACCTTGTCAAGCCCGTTTAGGATCCTTAGACTCTCCTGAGTGAGATTCTGCCTATTTCAGTGGATATCCACTCTTCAGTCTACTGGTGGGATCCCAAGTAGGAATTTTAAACATCCTACATAAAATCCTGGTTAACATCCTACATAGGACTCTCCTGAAAGTTTCAGTGATCTCCATCTTTGATAAACTACACTTCACTTGATATGATGTTTTTTCTTAGCAAACATTTTGTAAGACTACATCATACTAAGTATAGAAATCTCTTACTCCACAAAAGTACAAAATACCCATTTTACCCGTGTATGATACGCGCCAATGTATAAAACGCACCCTTGTTTTTAACAAAATTTATTAGAAAGAAGGGCTTTTACAGCAAAAAAGACAGGTTAAATCTTCGTACATTTATTTATTAAGACAACAAGAACACGAAATTTACTATATCGTTAACACTATAATCTTTTGCTATTTAGTTATTTAAGACATCATTGAAAGTAAACTTTGCACTCCAGTATAGCGTAATTCAGCCGTTCTGACAATTTCAAAATTACAAAAGTAAATTTTCAAACTATTGTGAAGCACGCAAAGGACTACAGTTCAAAATTGGTAAATTCATTGGCGAAAATGCTCTTTTGGCGCAAATGATCACACTTCGAATTCTGGTCTAAGAGATCCTAATTAAAATTTGAAGTTCAATAGGTAGAAGTTTTAAGAGAAGCACACGCTGCCAGGGGCGGACCCAGGAATTTTTGATTGGGGAGGTCCAAACTTTGGTTCAGATAGGACTGTTGGACTCTTTTGAGGCAAATTACTTCACCCCCACACCCCCCACACCCCCTCCCACCAGTCGCGGTTGCGCGTTATAATTCCTTGGCCGCTTACCGTTTACTTGGATTCATTAAAAAGATCAGCCAGTTAGAAAGTGATATACGATCCTGTCGATATAAGAATTTCAGTCTCAAAGTTGTAAGCGTCAGGTCTGATAGGGGGGGGGGTTCCGGATCCCCCGGACCCTCCCCCTGGATCCGCCACTGGCTGCGTTTAATTTTACGAACTAAATGCTTCCAAGTTTGAATCTAATTGCTTTACACGCAATGATGATAATATAATAATACTGTAATCTTTAATGAGGATGCCAACGTCACAAAAGTGGTTTACAGGAGGGTCCTCATGATCATTATTAGCGTGATACGAGTGTCTCCATTCATTCCATAATATATTCCATATAATACTTAAAAGAAACACAATTTCCACTTTTTTCAGAAAATTTCGAAATAAATAGTGAATTTGAAATACCCTAATTGCACAAGCCGGGAGTGCAGTTGTAGACAAGGTTAAAATTGGTGTAATTATTGGAAATTATGAAAAGTTTTGTTATCAGTGTAATCAGAAAACCGAGCATTTTTGACAAAAGGTAAAACCTACGGCTTGCAAGTAATGGCGGTTACAAAATTCCAGCGGGGCGCTGAATGAGCTTCTTGTCACATGCATAAAACTAACGCTAAATTACTCCGGTGTAATTTAGGTTTAGGCGGTGTGCGCACTCCGATTGCATTGCATTGTGGTTGCGTTATATTCAATATGGCGGTAAAAGCGGCAAAAATCGGCAGATTTTGACTGAACATTCTGTAAAAGCTAGGTCGTTTATTTATCCTTTCGCAATAGATAAATATAATTTGATATATTCTGGATGTGCAGAGGTATTTTTCGTACGTATTTGTCGCGTATTCTATCGTTCTCAAGGACAAACGCAAGCACTGTTTTCTAGCATGTAATTTGAGACCAGTTTTCGAGTAGGTCAAATTCGTTGTAGGTCGTAGTTTGAAGCCTCTCAAAGATTTGTAGGGCCATTTTGATCCTTCTTCAACAGCTCTGACCAAACGCGCTCCAACACGCTTCAACGGTACAAATGTTTTTTGCAGTTTGAGTGTAGTGTTGAAGACCCTTAAGTGGAGCGAAAAGGCTCGTTGTTGCGTTTAGTGAGTTGCATTACATAGCATTACTACTGCAAGGAAATTTACTATTTGTACTCAATCGTGTTGTAGACCTACCTTAGCTTCCCTTAGTGAAGGAAAATTAACTAATCGCGAGTGTCGTGTGGTAAATCTTCTACCTTGATCATTAAATGAAGGACAGTTTGATTAGAGCAATGAAAAGAGTCCCTCACAAAAAATATCAGGACACTATTCCACTTAGTTATGTATACAAAATCATGACCAAATCTATGATCCATGAAAACTTCTATCTTGCATGAGGCGACACGCCGGAAGCCGAAAAGCAAAAGGCAGTCGACCGTTGAAAGGTGTTACCATTCGCTAGCGCTTTTGTATCTTCCACCCTCAAAGTTTAACTCTCATTAAGATATCTCCCGATGACTTTCCTTTGCGATGTGATAATAAGGGTCAGTTTTGAGGTGTCATTTCCCCATCTGTATGTTCTTGA